GGCTGGGTTTGGGGGTCCGAGGGCACCCCCTGGCCCCAACCTGGCTCAGGCTGGTTTGCTGGCAGGGCCCCCCGCATCCCGCACCCTCTGGGTTCATCCCGCTGGGCCTTCCGCCACGTCCCGACAGGTTCTTCGTGCTGTTTCCTTTGGCAACACACACTTTGTAGAATGGGTTAGATTATCTCGTCGTTTCTTTAAATGTGAGTTTGTGCCTTTTTTGTCTCCTAAATCTTCCAATACAGGCATATTGGAAACGAAAATCTAATAAAATACTAGACAGAGCCTCTCGCCTCCGCCTTCTTTTGTTTTGGGGTTTGGGGTTGCGCGGGGGGGCGGTCTCGGTGCCATCCCGGGGGCTGCTCTGGGTCCTCCGGGCCGCTTGGGGGCGCCCTGGCGCGGCGCGTGCCCGCCCCCGTCACGCGCGCCAATGGGCGCGGAGCGCTGAGGGCGGCGCGGAGGCCGCGGCCGGGCCGGGCCGTGTGAGGGGAGCGCGGGGGTCTCCGCAATCCCCTTCCCAGTCCTTCGGGTCATCGCTTCCCTGCGGGAACCCCGGGCATGGAGGCTGCGGGCGTTCCCGCGAAGGAGTTGAGGTGAGCGGTGGGCGCCGAGGGGCGCGAGGCGCGGCGGGTCTGAGGGCAGCTCCGAAAAGTGGCCAAGCGGTTACGTAAATGGCCCGAGAATTAGCGAAACTTGTGTTTGGGCTAATTAACAGGGAGTTACACAAATTGGCGGCGTTGYGTAGTCATATGAAACAGAGGAGAAAAGCTGATTTTCTGTCAGTGGAGTGGTTCAGGGAAGCTTAAGGAGCATTTCTGGGTCCTTGAGACTTCCCGGAGCTCTGTTGATGTGTAATGAGGGCACGAGCATCTGCGCTTTGTAATGGACCGGCTGTCTCGAGCTTGACACTTTCTGTGAGGAAGAATAAGCTTGAGTAAATATTGAGCTTCTGCTTTTATGGTGTTTTTACAATGTGTCTTTACTCTGTGGCGAGAAGAGTCGGTGTTCTRTCAGTGGGCTCTATTCGCTACGAAAACTGCTTAGATGGGATTTGGGTGACTGCCTGTAATAGGAGAATTAGAAAAAAAACAAGTCAGCATACTGATATTTACTCAAATACCTTAAAAATCATCTGAAGGCTGTATTATGAGCACTGTGACCCTGAGAAATTCTCCACTATTGTATCATTTGAGAATTAACTTCGGTGATGCTAATTAATTACTTCAGTGGGTTGCTTGTATTTAGGACAGTGTTTGTTCCTGCCACTGAAATCTGTTTTTATCAGTACTGTAGTCCGTGGGCACTTTCAGGAGTTGAATTTTTGTCAGTAATGACTGATGGCCTCAACATTATTTCRGTTTTGTTTAATTCAGATAATTGTCTTACAAAATTAGTAACTGGAGAGCGTTCCCAAGTGATACATCTCTGATGRCAGAACTAGATCTGCAGCCCACCTACATTTTTTTTCCTCTAGAAATTTGTTTTAAAGTAGCTTCTGGGTGACTTCAGTGTAGTCTTACAAAGATAAACTATTAGTGAGGAAAATTATAGATCATTTTAATCTGTCATGCAAGGTTATTATGCGGCCCTTCCGCTTGCGTTGTGTCACCTTGAGCAGGCAGTTCATTGTGGGATAAAAATAAAGCCTTAATAATGGATGTATTGGTGTGACTCACTAATTGTCAGTGTTTATAAGGTCATTATAGAACCCCAAGATGGATGGAAAATTAACAATTTCTTTTTTTTTAAGCCTGTCTGTCACGTGACAAAGTGAGTAAAGTGAATTCCTTTTTAGACGCCCTGGTACTGAAATTTCCATTTTGTAGAGACCCAACAGATGAGTCCTCTGATGTGAATATTTCTGACAGTGCTCAAGAGGAACAGTGGCTTTGCTTGGTTCTGATAAGAACTTTGCATGTTTGGGATTTGAAGATTACATTTCTCCTTGCCTACAGACGGGCATGTGATCAATTCAAATCAACAGTAAATTCTTTTTAAACCTTGAGCTCGTAGAATTAACCACRTTAAATCTATTATGAAAAAAACAATTCACTGTGTGTGGTAGGATGTGATTGCAGCTTTTGTAACAACCCAGTGAGTGTGGTGGGAACGCCACGGTTTTTTTTCAGCATTGCTGCACCTACGTTTTTCCTTTTGTGTTGGAAGCCACGCTGATTTCCACAGCGATCTGGAAGACCCTTATCTACCTCTTTATTTTACACTTTGGATTTTAATGGGCTAGGCCTTCAGGGCACAGTTTTAACAGATGGCATCCCTCAGCAGCGAAGATGCATTCCAGCATTCCGAGGGGCTCTCCCTGAACGATTTGGAGAGCCTGCCCAACTTGCGCAGCCGCTCTGCCAGCATCAGCAGCACCGGCTCCAGCGGCCGTGTGCAGCTCCGGCACAGGGTGGCCCAGCTGATGGCTTGTGTGGAGGACATCAGCTCGGATGATGAGATCCACGAAGAAGTGTCTCGCACTCTAGATGAAGCTTTCCTCATCTGGGGGAAAAAGATGAAGGATAAGTGGCCAGAATTCAGGTTTTGTTGCCTCCAGTTGGTTGTTTTCRTGGTGGTGTCGGGGCTGACAAGTAGATTTCTGATTGATGGAGAGTGACAGAAATTCTGTGGGGAAATTAGAGCATCCTTAGGGTTGGTTGCCTGTCCACATTTCAATTTTAGCACTGGTTTTGTGTGRTTTTTGTTTGTTTGTAGACTACACTTAGTTACCTGGAATGTGGGCACAGCTTCTCCCCCTCCTGATGTTTCGGGTTTACTTCAGCTCAACTCAGTGGGCCCGACCATGGATATGTACATTATAGGGTAAGTGTGTACTAAAGAACTTGCTTTGTGAATTTATTGCAAAACAGCTGGGTCTCTACATGGTCCGTTTAGGGAGGACTGTGTGATGTGAATCACTGCCTGGGAGATGGTTTAACGCTATTGCTACCAGAGGGTGAAGACTAACTGAGTCTAACAGAATACCGGCTTAGAAGAGAGATGATTCATAGCAGTTATCTGCTGCTATTTTGTGACAGAATGCAGAATATCTCTTCTCTAAACACCCAAAAAGTTTTGGCTTCTGTTTTCTCTGTTAGCATGTAAAGGCATATTCATTTTGATATGAAAATAATGGAAAGTTCAGCATGTTTTAACGGAATTAGTGCAACTTCTTAGGCACAATCTGCCATTGTGTTTTCYAGACTTTGCTGAAATTCTGAAGTCCTGACAGTTAGGTTGTTTGCTATAACATACATGGAGTCTGGCCTCATCTTAAAGTCTGTCTTGAGGAATATATAACCTCCTTCAATTCTGTTTTCTCTGTGTTAAATGTGTTTAATCTGTGTGTGGGTTAAACTGSTTGACTAAGAAACTGAACAGGAAGAAATTTCTGGGCTCTGTGTTCTATAAAGTTCATGTGAATTCTGTCCAAACCGACGGGTGTAATGTGAGTAATTGTGATTACTGTGTATTCAGCTTACAGGAGGTGAACTCAAGCATCACAAATTTTCTGTCCGACTTGGCATTTGATGATCCATGGAGCATTTTTTTCATGACTGTATTGTCTCCCTTAGGATATATCAAGGTAATTATTTACATCTCTTGTAAGTGTAACAGCACTGAAGGAAAATGCCTTAATTTTTTTTCTCATACTCTCCATAAAAGATAAATTGATAGCGATTTTTTGCATGCATCTGTCACTTCCTAGGTAAACGTATGTCAGAAGTGATTCTTCATCACGCTTGTGGTTTTCTGTTTTCCTGTTTTACATGTGATGTGAACTTAAACTGAGCAATATATTTCTTGTGGCCACAATATCTTTATTTCTCTCTTGTTTGTAGAAAATTTTTTTGCTCTGTGCAATTTTGGGAAACTGTATTGTGATGCTTCTAATGTAGTCTTGCACTATAAATATCCCAAGCAATGGCAGTGATTTTCATTAAGATTGGTAAGGTTCCTTTATATTTTTTTCCCCCGTTTGTTTGCAGGTGAATATACATTGCTTATATGTAAAACAGGATTTTAGTAGGTGTGTGTATTTATCTGAGGACTTAATTTTGGGTTGAAGACCTATAACATTATATGGGAATTTAAATGAGAAGATCTTTGGGTAATATAAGGGATATAAAACAGCTAAGTACTGGCTATTTTAATAATGCAAACAATAAATGTGGGAAGATATCCTGAGTTTCTGTAGTAAAGAGAAATTAAAAGCCTTTTGTAGTGGTTTTCTAAACCAAGCATTATTTCAGGCTGATTTTGCTGAGGTGATTGCATTATCTGCGTGCTAATCAGACTCAGTATTTGTGCTGTTCTTTTAATTGTAATTAAACAAAACAAAGGACCCATTGGGAATTACAAAAAGGAAAAAACCCACATTGTTCATTCTGGCCTAAGTCATTGCTGATAAAAATTCAAAATCTGGCCGTGGGTTAACATTCAGGCCTTGTATACACACAGTTAAAAGAATTCCTGCTGGTATGCCTGGCTGAATTTGAATTCTAATTTATAACTGTGGCAGTTTAGGCCAGACTAATGAATGGATGCTGCCACCTAATGGCTTTCACCAGGACTTGATTAGCTCTAATAAAAAGGGGGAGCTGTCAGGCCGGGTCAAAATCAAACCAGGCAGCAAGGAAAGGTTATCCTAGGACTTAGCCAGGAAGTTGGCTGAGGAGGAGAGGAGCTGTTACCCCTTGGCTGACCCGTGATGAGGTTGGGTGTATAGGGATAGGTGTCATCCTTGGGACATTCTGTCCCTTCAGTAACAGGCTCTGTTTTCAGAGTGTTAAATTGGTCACTGTCAATTCTTTCACCATCCACAGGATCACATTCCCTCTGTGCAAAGACTTTGCTTGATTTGGCTCTGAGTACTGGTGGAACTGGTGCTGGTTCCAGCAGAGGAGGGGTCAGTGCCTTGTGGTGTTCAGGACCTATGGATCTTGAGAAATGTSTGGAGACTGGCCACAGCAGAATGAAATGAAGCAAATAAATAATGAGGGAACTGGAAGATCTTGGTATCTCATGAATGTGATTATGGGAAGGAGAATGCTGACTACTAAAATATTTATGCATCATCTAGTAATTGCAGTCCATTGTTTTAGTATTCTGTTTGGTATTTTGTTGGGTTCAAGGACAATGAAAACATTAAAATATGTTCTGAAATAATTTAATTGTGTAGATAGGGAGTCAGAGAAAGGAGGAATTCTGTTTTAAATTTTGGGCTGAATTTTTATGCTTCTCCAGCAGTTGTATAGTCAGTTTTATTTTAAAGTAGTCTTTATCTAAATTAATCCAGCATGAAATTGAACTACAATTAATGTATTTCAATGTCTGTATTTTCAATTGAATCATTATCATGAAAACAAACACAATAAATTTTGTGTCTTATGCCAGGAACATGGTAAAGTCCATGAATGTTCAATGAAGGATATCTTTATTAGACTGTTTCCACACATACAAGCCAAAAACCCCAAACTATAAAAAAACCTCGTGCCATACAAAACCCTAAGTGTTTGGTAAATCAGTTTTTACAGGCACTGCAGGCAGGAGTTACTGCTGTTTGCAGCTCATTGTTTTTGCAGAAACTGCTGTGCGTTTGAGGCATTTCATGGCATTTAGAATGTTTAATGATCTGTTGAAGGATGCTTCAGTTTGAAAAACTTGCTGTTGGTAGGTGTGAGCTATTAAGATTTTAGGTCAAAACTGAAGGATTTGGTTCTTCATGAACAGAATTCTTAAAGATAGAAACAAGAGGCTGGTGAGGCAGAAGAAAGTTCTTTAAAGAGGTTTGGGCAGCTGCRTGTTTTGAGGTCAACTTCAGATTTGTAATATAATGTTAGAGCTGTGTTAATTAGCTGAGAGATTGATCAGATTTGTTTATAAGGGATTTGTTTTTCACAGCAGTGAAATGGGTCTGCATTTACGGTGTCACAGTATTGAGGCCAGGCTTGATGAGGGAGTTGCATGATTTCTGCTGGTACCTTCTTCACCTAAAATCTCCTATGAAAAAAATCCAAGGGATTCCAAATACCTCTCCGGAAATGACCATCCCCTCTTTCCCATCTCTTCCAGCTCTCCTCAGTTCGCATGCAGGGGTTGCTTCTTCTCATTTTTGTGAAGCAAGTCCACCTTCCCTTCATCCGGGACATCCAAACCCARTACACACGGACAGGCCTCTATGGATACTGGGTAAGAATCCCTGAGGTGTGGTTGCCCTGGTTACTTATGGTGCTGTATGTCCCTGCGTGGGTCCATGCTGGGAGAGAGAGGATGTGATTTAATTAAAAATTTACAAACTGACAAGCAGACTCATTGTTTGAACCTCATGTGCAGCACAGACCATAATTTCACCGGTTTATTTGCTCATATGCAACAACTTATATAGGAAGAAATTATATTGATTTAAATCAAAATAGCAAGATTAATGAAGTTATAGGTGGTTTTAATAGTTACGTTTGCAGGCATTGACTGACAGTTTCAGGGAATGTTGTTCATCTTCCATCCTAGGGGAACAAAGGAGGAGTCAGCATCAGCATGTCCCTCTTTGGTCACCCAGTTTGTTTAGTSAACTGCCACTTGCCAGCTCACATGGAAAACACGGAGCAGCGGCTGGATGACTTTGAGACAATTCTGGAAATGCGTTTTGATGGAGAAAATATTCCAAGTCCCTTGGATCATGAGTGAGTTATTTGCTCTGTTCTGTCTGTATCATTTTTATCTATTATATAGTAAACTCATGCACTAAAGAGTTTTGGGTTTGGAGTTTTCATCTATCATTTTTATTTTAAGTGTCTCTTCAGCCTTTACCCTGAATCCTGGAAGGAAGAGATAATCTGAAAAACAGTGATCTGTTTTACAAGACTGTTTCCTTCCAGTCTTTATTACATACATTTGTTAGCATGTAGACTGTAGATGTCATGCAGGAAACCTTTAGAAGCTAAAGCCTGTTTATACCAAAAATCCTTTCAATTGCTGTTAAATGTTCAGAGATGTAAGTCATGAAGAGACTCAGGAAAAGTTAACATTCAGGCAGTAATGAGCAAGCAGCAAAAATACAAGGGACTTAATTTAATGTTTCAATTACTTAATTTTTTTTTTGTTGTTCAGCAGCAGGTTGTCCCTGTGTAAGCTCATCTATAACTACTTAATGCAAACAGCTTAAGTACAAACATTAAGTAATATAAGTGATTAGAGCCCCTTGTTAGTGTAATGGGTTATATTCTGTTGAATGCTTCCCTCATGTTGATGGATTCCTAGAAATCTTCCTTGTTTGATGCACTGTGATTTGGTTATTTTTTTAAGGGTTCTCTTCTGGTTTGGAGATCTAAACTTCCGGATAGCAGATTATGGGATACACTTTGTCCGGGAATCCATCCAGAACAGGCGTTTCAGTCTGCTGTGGGAAAAGGACCAGGTAGGTTGTCAGTCTCTTTGCGGGGTTGGTTTTGTTTTTAATGCACACAAACACAGCGTGGTAGTTAAATTACAATTTGAGCTTCTAATTTCTGTTAAAGAACACAAACTCAGAGCATGAGGTGGAAGTCATAAGCCCCAATTAATTGCAAGCTTTTTCTGCTTTGTGTAGTTTCTTACTTATTTACAATGCTCATGTTTGACTGGAGCTTTCTTTCAACTTCCTGTCTTGTCAGTTGTTCCTCACCTTTTCTTTCTCCTMTTCTCCCAAAAATTATTTTTAAGAGAACCTTATTTTGTGTTTGTTTTGGGTAGAATTGCCTCAAAACTTTCAGGTCATGTCAAGAGTTCTGGGAGTAAAAAAAGGCCCTAATGAATTTACCTTTCYAATTATGTTGTACTGACTGCAATGTTGAATTCTTGTAAGATGCTTTCCCAATCATCCTTTAAGCTCTGATTTTTAAACACAATCTTYAAAAATTACTTTTTATTTCTGCAGCTAAATATGGCAAAAAAGAACGAATCTTTTCTTAAGGAATTCAAAGAGGGTCCTCTGCAGTTTAAACCCACCTACAAGTTTGACCTTGACTCGGATGTCTATGACACAAGGTAAAAGCACAACAAGAGGAATTTAGACATGGAATAGGAAAGTGAATGTGGTGCTTGCTTAAATATCACTTTAGTTATAAGCAAACCTGAATTTCCTGAGTGTACTGGGGCTGTTGAGCTGTTCTGTTAGGCTCCTGTTGATCGAACTTGAATAAATATATTTGGCTGAAGAAGCTGGGGTCTGCTGATTGTATGAGAGAAGTAATGAAACAACTCAGTTTCCTTTTTGGAAAGAGTAGATCGACATTATAAATGAGCTCTTGTTTAAGCTGTTTCTGTTCTGTTCTTTTCTACTAAAAGTGCTCATTGGTTGTCAAAAAGGAGCAAAAAAGTAATTGTCTGCCATTTTGCTTCCCTTCTCTGTGTAAAAATTTCCTTTGATATGCTGGTATTTGAAAATTAATGTAAATTTGTCTCTGTTGTTTATTTGTAGTTAAAAATGGAGTATCTTATATTTCCAAAGTTTTTCTCTGATTCTGAAGTTTGTTTTTTAAGTGTTAGTCTTATGTTTCAACAGAAGGATAAGCTCCTGTCCAAACAGGGTTTTGTACTTACCTTTTCCTTTACTTCCAGAGAAAAGAAGTCCCTGTTTTGGTTTAAGTAAGAAGAGACTTTCTGAATTTTGTAGTTTTTTAAATATTTCAGAATCAAAACAAGGCTCCATCCGAGCTTTTGATTTGATTTTTATGAAATATTTGAAAATCAGATGACASCTGATTTTCTTTAGGGATTTTCTGAACCTGTCTGAAAGCTGCAGTGTTATCTAYTCTGCTGTTGCACCTAAAATTGGAAGTATTCGGATCCAAAGACATTTTGCTTCCTAATTGAATGTAAAGAGATGTAATGGGACCAGCAGTAAATCCATTTAAATAAAATGATAATCCAAACTTAGACATTTTACAAATGATTCATGKCCTGGTTGTCTGTATTGGCTGATTTAAAGAACCGAAAGTGTTCTTACACTTTCTCTGTGCATCCTGCTGCTGTTCAGGTTTGCAGAGACACTGCTCATGTGGGGCTGATCACCCTGCAGAACTTGCTTTTACTGAAACCCAGAGAATTTTGTTATCTTTGATACTTCTTCGGTGTGGATTTTGAGGGTTTGTTTCCCATCTAATACCCCATTTTCTCTACAATAGTGAGTGTATTACCGTAAGCTGTTCTTTTGGTATTTTGCTGCACAGCAGAGCAGACATATGGCAGCTCATAAAGATTTCTGTCGCTTTATGTAATTACTGGAGCAAGTGGGATATGGGCCCTTAGTCATTTCAAATCTCTCCACCTTATTTAAGGTGAGTCAGACTCATACATGGGAAGGGGTAAAACAAAGTTATGCTGGATATTGAACTAAATGGCCTTGGTTTTGATAATCAGAATAATTAAACTGACTTCCTTACACATCCTGCTTTAACTTTTATAATCCAATCCAGTCCATTCTAATTCCTCTTCCATAGGGTATGATCTTTTCTCCATTTCAATTCGAAGTGATCCACCCATCCAGGGAGTTGCTGTTAAGTCTCCTTCCCACTGCAGGAAGAGCCACAGAGGGCTCATGTCTTCTGTTGTAACTGATATAATGGTATAAAAGGAAACTGCATTGTGATAACAGTTTGATGTATAGGCACAACTTCCTTGATTATGGAATTTTTAAAGCCTGTTGTTATGAGACAGCAGTAGCTTACAAACCTGAAGTGCAGGCTGGTACAATTTAGAGGAACTTACAAATAAAGCATTGCTGTGGCACCTGGGATTACCATAAGATATCTAAGTTTGTTCTGTTTTTCGTTGTTAAAAGAAGCCTTGCTCTCAAATATTTTGAATAATTTCAGATATCATTCAGACTCTTCCTACATATTCCTTATGTTTATGCCCTCATTTCTTAGAGTATCTGTACATTTGAAGCTTGGGGCAGTTGCTGTATTATGTCAATGTTCATGCTTGTTTTTAACAGGGTTTTAGGAGAAAGTATCATTTCCTGTATGARGCCAACTAACCCACTGAAATGTCCTTCTCCCCCTTCATTTTACTCCTCTTTCAGAAATGAAAGATGAAACTGATCTGTGGTGGAGTTCAAATTAAAGAAACTGTTGTAAAACRTCTTTAACAGAGCTGTAAAATGAAGCTTGGATGTGATTGCCTCCTTTAATTAATATGTATCTCACAGTCCTTGAACTCTGAGTAGATTTTGCACAGCATTCTTAGCTTTTGTCAAGTTGTTTCTCTGCTCATTTCACTTTTCCCCTTACATTTTTGCAGTGAGAAGAAAAGAAAGCCAGCGTGGACTGATAGAATTCTTTGGAAAGTGAAAAATTCCAGTGAGGTTGAATCAAAGGAAGGCGAATTCCCTGCAGAAGAGAATCTGATTTCTGTTACTCTGAATAACTATACCAGTCACATGAGCTATGGCATCAGCGATCACAAACCTGTCACAGGAACTTTCGTGCTTGAGGTGCTGTCCCAGTTACGTTGTTAAGAAAAAGTTTGTTTTACTCAGTGTTACCTTACAGAAGCTGAATCTCTGTTTTGTTCTGAAAATACTGAAGGTAGCAAATTGCTTTCAGTTTATTTCCAATCAGTTACAGTCCCACAGGTAGCAATTATAGCAGAGAATAACTTGAAAAAAATAACTGAAAGAATGACARGCTTGACTGAGCTTAAATTCTGTTTTTTTTGTCTAGATGAAGCCTCTTCTCTCAGATCCCTTGGTCGTGCTGAATCCTGAGGGTGAGTGGAGTGCAGACCATGATGTTGTTGTCCGCTACTCCACGGTGTCTGAATTCCCGAGCAGTTCTTGGGACTGGATTGGGCTCTTCCAGGTAATCYTATCTCATCATGGCTCTTCAGCAGAGATGGTGAATGTGACTGCAGGAGGTCGTTGAGAGTTTTAGGGTGTTGTGGTTCTTGCTGGTGCAGAACTCTCTGAAATAGTTGTGTCCTTGATTGCCATTAATTTCTGCGTGTTGGCAGTTTAGCTCCAAGGCATGTGAGTTCTTCCACACCCTTTAAATTCTCTGCTAGGATAATCGGATYTGTTTAAGTAAAATGTTGCAGAAGCTGTGAAAAGGAGTTTATGCAGCAATAAAAGAAAAAAAAAGTCAGTGAAAGGGTGAGACAACAGCACTCACACCCTCTCAGAAACAAAAGATCTGTGCATGCCCCCAAATTGTTTTGATCCTGAGACTGAAGTGTTTTAATAACTTCAGTGAAACTGTAAACATCTCTCACAGCTTTGTTTCCCRTGTAGTTTGGTTTGTTTCCTTCAGAAGGCTGATGGTTTGTGTCTTTCTCTGCAGGTGACTTTCAGGCACGTGAATGATTATGTTACTTACGCTTGGGTGGAAGATGATGAAATTGCTTTCAACGCAAACAGTAGACAAGTCAGTTGTATTTCTTTCTAATGTAGTTTCCCACAGGTTCCATATCTCCTTCCCCTTAGGGCTTCTGTACCCTCTTTCCCAGTTGAAGGTAATTGGGAGTGATATTACTGTTTAAAATCCCTCTTCCTGACTCTTCCCATTGAATGGGTTGCTCTTTAAAAACTGCTGTCAGTTACAAAGCTTTCTAGGAGTCATTACCTAAAGTGACTTAAACCAAACAAATAAAACTGATTTTGATACAAATGATAAATATCCAGAGATACTAATCTGAACAAATAGGAACTGAAACTGGGAACTGTGGCTCCTTGGGACAGGACCAAACCACAGGCGTGGATTGCTCTGCTGTTGCCACCAGGAGGCAGCTCCGCTCCCTCTGCTGCTCTGTGGCTTTGTCCCTTCCCATTCAACTACTCTGGGTTTCTTCTYCCTTCTCACTGAGCCAAGCCAGCTTGCTGACATGGTAAAGGATATTCCCTCTCCTCCCTGATTTAATTTTCAGATGATTTCCTGAGTTATTTCTGTCCTCATCCGTTTTAGCTTACATTTTAAAACGTGCTTATAAATAGCAAACACTGATTTTGATGGTGTCCTGAATGGATTTTTTATAAACTTTTTTCCTTTTTTTTTTCTGTGGAAATTGCTCATTGCCTGTTCTTATTCTTGCCAGGTTTACATGAGTGCTTCAGAAATACCTCAGACGGGAGGAGAATTTTTGCTTTGTTACTATAGCAATAACTTTCAGTCAATAGTTGGCATCAGTGAGCCTTTTCAGGTAATACATTTGGAAGTATTGATTAATGYTGATAAGATGTTATTTATTTATTTRTTTATTTGTTTATTTAGTTTTCATATGCCTCTGAACATAGGTGTRTGCAGCTGTGATAATCCTGGGGAAGGTGGTAGCAGAAGGAATTTTAAAAATGATATGTCCTGGCTAAAAAGAATTTGCTGATTGCTAAAAGGCCCTGAGTAGCTGTTATCACATTGCAGTGAAATGAGACAGTTTCTTTCTCTGAGTTCACTTTTGAAACTTCAGGCTCTGTCATGTTAGGTCCCCAGTTTCTGTAAAGGTGACAAACCAAGTGCTGCCAAATTTTCTGGCATATTGTGAGCTCTTTGTGCTCCATTCTGTCATTTGTTTCCTGTAAATTGTCACTTGAATTTGAAGGGAAGGATGGGACAGCTGGACTCAAGTTATTTGTCTAACAGGCTTTGTTTAATTTCTTGACTTAACCTGCACGAACAATATGAACTGAGCAAGCATTGCTGCTTTTACCTAAGCACTCTTTTTTCCAGAATAATTTTGTTTGTTCATAATTTTCCATGCTGTCACGGCTGTGCTGATGTGTTGGGGAGTCATTGAAATTGGAGTTCTGCATTGTTGTTGGATGAAGGGGTTTAAGAAGACTGTGAAATTCTGGTGCCTTAGGGGACAGTAATGAAAGTTCCTGGGCTGGCTGTTTTTTCTCAATGCTACTTTTCCTATTTTTCTCTGTATTGGTGAGAAACATGGCCAAGTGGAATATTTGTGTTGTCTCTGAGACTCTGCAGGATTATTGCCTTTCTTTTTTCATGACGCTTACTATTTTGTTATCATAGTGGATCTTTTACTAGATTTTTTAATTTTCTCAATTTTTAACAAGTATGACAAGCTTCTTTATCTAATGATATAGATAATGCAGAGCTACAYAGTGCTTTTGAATTATTAATTTGTTATTTATCTTTTCTCTCTCCTAGATTCAGCCTCTCCAAACACAAAAGGATCAGACAGAGGGATGGAGCAGTTGGCTGCAGAAACCTGACAATCCAGAATTGGATAGTGATTCTGAACAAAGGAAAGGCACTTAGTGGTCCTGGTTCAGGAGTCAGATGATTCTTTATGTCTTAGTGATTGTAAGCTTTTACTCTTAGAAGATGGAGTAAGACAGGTAGGATTGTTCAGAAACTTTGGAAGCTCGTAGAAGATAATTTATTGTGGAAATGGATATTTTTATTCTGAGGAGAGTAACTCTCTTGCACTGGATGAGAATTGTAAAAATAGCACTTAATAAATGCTGTATGTTTTAAGGTGGTAGACATTTCTAATACAATGATTTAACCTAAGGAAGTTGCAATTTAATAGATTTTTAGGCTTGTTCCTTTTTTTTGTAGAGGATATTTTATTTACGATGCAGTATTTACTATGCTGTAACCACTTAACAATTGATTTCCAAATTTTGAGTTTAAATGAAGTTATTTAAAAATTATTTATTAGATACAGCTAGTTAGCTTGTTTTGAAATTTTATTTGACTTTCAAATGTAAGCTAATTACCTTTTGGGAAACATCAGTGACATCAAGTCACATGAAAACAAAATCATTGGAGTGTGTAAAGTCTCCTTTGGTAGATCCTTCTCTTCATGCCTTACTGAGAACTCTTTGTAGGATTTTCCATTTCTGATTTTTCCAAATTGAAATGCATTTACCAAAATGCACTRTTCCTGATTTTTTTAATTCTTCTTTTATAAAACAATTAAGCAATTTGCCTATTGCCTTTCTCCCCCTCATTAAAAAAAGTAAAATAAACCCATTTTATACCAGTCCCTGGCTCGGAGTTAGCCAGGATCCTACAATTTCTGAAGGACTTTGCAGAAGCTGAGAAATGCTTTAGCACAGGTGAGCAGCCCATGGTTGATGATGCATTTGCCATAATCTTTGAAAATTGTAAAACTCTTCCATTTATAGCAATCAGTCTGCAAACTTYGTTGTTTTTTCTAGAGGTGCTCAGACCTTACTGTATCCTGTGCACTTGAGGGTGGRGATGGAATAAGGAACTTTGTGTACCTTTAGGAACCTGAAAGGTAGTTAGCTTCAGAAAGGGTCTTGTTTCTTGGTGAGGAAATCGAGATCTTTGGAAAGGGTAGGAAGGGGTGCCAACATTCCACAGAATCTCAGACTGAAGTGCTGTAACAGAGCACTTGTGAGTCTGCCATGTTCTATATCCACAGCTCCCTACCATGTGTGGTGACTGGAGTGGTTAGGGATGGAAAAGAGCAAATTTGGTTCAAGTGGAAGAGCAAAGAGTGTTGGGGTGTTTATGCTGGAATGCTGTTTCAGAACTGAGTGGATTCCTTTTTGCTCTTTTTCTCAAAGCCTTATTTTTTCAGGATTTTTTTGGCATAGAAAGTTAACACCTTGATAGGACATTTGTTTTGCTTCTGTCATTCACTGTATAAAATCTTCTTGAGGTCCAGGTGTTCTTGTGTTTTGTTGAAGCTCTGACATAGGTTTCTGCTTAGCTAGTTGCAGTGGGGTTTAGGAACACTTGGCCTCTGTAGGGATTTGTTGTATCTCAGCTTAATTCTTGGTGTTGGGAACCGTTCCCAGTTGTGAGTAGTGAGGGCAGGTTCAGAGGATATTGTGTTCATTGCATGGATTAACACTGCCTTGAGGTTTACAGTTTGTACATTCCTGTTACACTTTGGAACAATATTAGAAACATTTTTTTGCATTTATATTGGTCTCCCAAGAATTTGTTTTGCACTGAATCTTTCAGATATGTGACTCCTCATGGCAATTAGGGCATTGGACAAATCCCTGTTTTGACCTGCAATAACTTTTGCAGTTTCTGAGTTGTGCTCTGTTTCTGGTTTCACATGTGTTAACTGACCATTCTTCATGCAAAGAGATTCTGTGGAGAGCCCAAAGAACAGTGGGCTTTGAATTCCAGACCACAGCTGGTGATTTACTGTGGACCAAGATCCAGTTTCTTCTAAGCAGGGTGCATCTGCTGGGCAAGAGCAGCTCAGAGGGAGCCGTGCTTCCACTTTGCAGGGGCCAGACACTCGAGATCCTTTGTGTTTGTGGGAGCTGAGAACCCTCTGTCACTGGGCACAGAAGCTGCATTTTGTAAACTGATCCTTTGAACCACGGGACTTCCCGGAAAATGCCCACAGCAGCTGGGATTGGAACTGCTTGTGTGTAAGGAGGATGCTGCACACAACTCTGCACTTCTTTCTTCAGTATTATGCACACAGAGGCACTTTTGTTTACTACTGTTACCTATGGTAGCTTTTCAAACTATTCCAATAGACATGTAATGATGCAATTTCTGATGAAATTTTATCTTTCTTAAAACACCTTTAATTCAATGTTATAATCACTGGAAATGTTTTTATACTCATGTGTTTTCTTTWCATGTACCTCTCAAATAAATCCTGGCAGTGAAGTGTTGTGCATGGCCTCTKTTCATTYCAGAAAGAACAGGCTGGTTTGGGTGGGGAGGATTAATTTGTAACCTTTCTTCAAGGAGCTTGTTTTGGTACTTTTAATRCACAGATACAAAGTATTTTAGAAGGAAATCAGTGAGAACCTGTGGTTGGACTTGGGGCTGCAAAAGGAGGGCAGAGACAAATTGCAAGGACTATTTTCCTTTCGGACCAAACAGATTCACATTCTTTTTTCCCTATTTCAATGAATCCGGTATTAATTGCACTTGTTTTGGATKTTCTATCCCTCTTCCCCCATTAAAGAGGTTTTGACATTTTCCCTCACAGACCACTTCAATTCCTTCCTTATTTTTTGAGAACAGGTTCTTCCAACTTCGCTTTTTCACAGTGGGATTTGAGGTGTCTCTTTTGCCTTTATGAAAGATCTGCTACATTATGCTTGGTATCTTAAATTTTGTATATTTCTATATAAATTTGCACTCGATTTCCATCCAAGGGTAACCTTTTATAACTCCCTGTTGTTGGAGATTTTATTTTCAAATAGGAGCTATGTCTCCCAAAGAATTTTGTCCAGTCTAGCCTCATTTAACTTCCATACATTTCTGATTGCTGGCTAACCTCAGGATGTGCAGTGTATCATTGCACACAGATAGTACAGCTCTGTGTAAACAGGAAATATTTCTAAGATGTCTTGCGTGTTTCTGAGACCCTAAAAATACGTTCTGATAAAGTCCATTGTTTCTACTACCACTGCTTCCTTCTCTGCTCTTGGACACTGAGTGACACTCAGATGAACTTGTCTTAATTAATATATTGCAGTGGAAAGGCCAGTTGAACAAAGCTGGAATTAGGTTTTCCTTGAGAGAGGAAACGATACCTTTTTTGAGAACTCTGCGTTGCTAACAGGAAACTTCCTGTGGCCCTTTTTGCCCTTGGATGTGGGGATTTGAAAGTGATTGACACAAAGCGATTTCTATTTAATACACAGCTACTCTGGAAAATGGTCTGCTCAGGAAGTGCCCTGAACTTGTTCTAATTGCTTCAACTTGAGAAACCTCATTGATCTGTGTCACTCACTTGTAGCCCGATTTCAGAAGCTTTTTTGCACATAATTCTGGTATTTAYATCATAGGAGCTATTCCAGTTACACAGCTCTGCTATTCTAACCTTTGTGATTTCTCCCCATAGAAAGGAGAGATAAACCAGGCTGGGTATTGCTCCATATTACTGAGAACAAAGTTTGTTTGGGGAAATAACAGTGTTGGGTTTTTAAATGTGATAAAATCTATTTTTTTCATTAGAGCTCTGTATTGGGAAGTAAATGCTCAAGGAAACAATGGTTGGACTGGAACAATGTTCTGTGTAACACCTAAGGAAGCATAAGAATAATTCCAGRTATGAAACACAGAACAGTGACAGGCCCTTTTTTGCAGCTGCTGAACAGAACACTGTTACCTGTATCTGCTCTGGAGTGGGCACTGCTTGTTAATCTGACTAATTAATCTTGTTAATGCTTTCTTGGCAAGCATTATCAACAGGAGTTGGTTTGTAGTAGAGCTAAAAATTCAAATTTGTTTTTTCCAAGAAGATAGAAGGAATTATCTCCTCAGCAAATCTTAAAATACCTGAAATTTAGACTGATTTTTTTTCCCTCCAGTCACAGGCAGGATATCTGATATCCTTTTTGGACGGTGATAGGTCTGGCCACTCCACTAATGGATGGCATCATCATTGTAAAGCTCTGTAATTACACTTAAACCAGTGCTTACCAGATTGTTTTACTTCTATTTGTAGAAATTTTTGTGCAGTAACGTGCAAATTAATTTCCTTTGCCACGATTAGTTAGCTACTCAAGGACTCAATTAATAATGATTCTGTTCTGCAGCAGTTTGCAGAACTTCCTGTAGTTACCATRGGAGCAATCAGGATTTTCTATTACTTGCTCTTGGAGGCAAAGATGAAGAATTTTTTTTCTACACAAAATCTCTTGGTAGATTTTTGAAGTCTACCATGGGATTCTTTCGTGCCAACACCTCTAAAACAGCATCCGCAATGACCTGACTTTCCTGAGCCCGTTGGGACAGAAATGGAACATCAACAAAGTTGGAGGCAATAAACACAAACATAAATTTAGGCTTCTTGGAACTGTCGTGGCACATTGTAATGAGTGGAAACCAGTCTTGAACTTAATTGTTTGAGCTCACACCTAACACTTGGTATAAATACAGAGGTTCATCTTTTCCTCTCACGACAGGGCTCCGAACCAAAGGCTGCACTTAGTCAAGGTTGTCTGCTGCTCCTCCACATTGAAATCAGAACTTTCCTTAAAGAATAGAGGGATTTACTGACTTTCCTTGGAAAAATGGAACTGCAGATTGAACGGATTCCTACAGGAGAAATTATCCGTGTGGTCGGCCGCAAGGCAGAGCGCAAGACTGTAAGCCTGGCTTTTATTGTTCTCTTTCCCCCTCTTGTACTGTTGGTTACACAATAACCAGCTTGGTTCAGAGCTGAGCAACTCCAGGGCAAGAATTTGAGGGTTTGCAGGACTGGTTGGTCATTGGAGTGGCTGTAGCTATGTTGTGAACTGCTTTCTCTAGGATGGAATTAATAGCAATGAAGTGAGTGGGAGTTCAGAAAATCATGAAAATGTATTTCCTGTAGAAATACTGCCGTGTACCAAAGTTGGTGTTTGGCCTGGCTGTATTAATTCTGTCTGAATTCTGGGAGCACTTTCAGACTGCAGAGGAAGGGAAAGAGCTTTGAAGCAGTTATTTTGTTCCTCYTCAGTATCGATTGTGCTGTCACGAGGTTCATGCTCTGAATGTTACAGGAAGGTTCACATAGGGAAAATTCAGTGGTGGAGGGACATATTATCAGACTATTGTGAATATCTCAAGGAACTGACTATTCTGTTAACTTGGGRCTTTATTGACTTGGGTTCAGGGTTTGTATGTAAGCAAAGGGAAAATCCATGAGCTGATTATTTCTGGTTTGACATGAACAGTTGAGAAAGATGGTAATTCCCTAAGAATAATTTCCATTTTCTTGGAATTTTCTTCCATTTTCTTGGCTGTTCTGTGTGTCTTGCTTCAGAATATTGTCTATCTGGATTTGTACAATTTTTAATTAAAGGATTGCAACAAAAAGGAGCTGTGTAAAATTTAAAATRTTTAGAAATACCTTAATGCAGCTGTGAATTTACCTTTTCATAGCTGTTTCAAACCTGTTTAACAGATCTTCAGCTCTGGTAGAGCCATCTTGTAATGAAGTGCACATCTGTGCATGTTGCTCCTGTTTCCTAGCATTGTCTTTCTAGTGACTAATCTGAAATTCAATCTGAAAATTAGCTGAGACATTTACTGTGTGATACACAATTGTCAGGTAGAGTCATTTCACCTCAGAAAAAACCCAGAGCTTCCTCTGCCTTGTTGGGAGAGGAGACACTGGCAATTCTGGTGTTCTTTGGTTTTCAGTAATCAGTCCAGGAATGTTACTGACTTATCTGTAGAGACAGTAGGGGCACTGGCAGGACTGAGTTCTTTCCCAGGGTGAAGTGTTCCTTTAAACCTTGGCATGTGCCAGGGTCCTGGGGGAGACATCAGCAAGAGAAAAGGTATCAGTTCAGCTTGCTAAAAAGTTTTAAATCCTCGTTAACATTCCATAAAATGGTAACTTGCTACTTTGAAAACAGTTTGTGTCATGCATTGTTGGTGCTGCAGAGAGATGGTTTCTGATGTGCTGTGCTTTAAGAGAAACTTTAAGATACTTTAAACTGCTGCGGGAGTGGCAAGAGCGGAGCTTTACGGTTTCAGCTCAGTGCGGTTCAGGCTGTTGGCGTTCAATGTGCAGAATTTCCTGTGGATCCTGACGAGGCTGCCTCGGGTGTTTCACACCTGTGTGGGATGATCCAACCTGCTGCTCACAGCCGATGGTTACCCGAGCCCGGTGGAATCACTCCAGAGCGAACTTCACCCTGCGCCCTTCCCAAGAACATGCACTTTTGATGACTCCCACACCCAGGCGTCAGCCAGGAGGGGCCGGTAAAATTACCATCAGCGTTCGAGCTTTATCTTGTCCGTCTGGAGCAGACAGGTGCGTCTGCCCTTCGAGGCACCAGCAGCAACTGTGTGCAGAAGCTGCTCGGCGGGATGCTGCTGCCGCGGACAGTGTGAGCAGCGCGGGCCGGGCCGGGGGGCGAGGCGGGGTCCCGGTGGCGGTGTTGGTGCAGGTGAGGGCGGAGGCAGCGGCCCGCAGCCCGCATGCCCGGCGCTCGGACATGCTCACTAGCGGCGCGGCGCGGGCTCCCGCGGGCAGTCGGCGCCGAGGCGCTCGCGGAGCCGCCGCAGGGCCCCGAACCGCGCGTCCCGGGGCACCGAGCGCAGGTGAGCGGGGCCGGGGGGGCCGAGCGGGCGAGCGGCCGGTGGGCGCGGTCC